TTCCAAGTTGAAGGCAGCTGGCTCGTCATTGATTTGTACAAATGTCGACAGCTTTTTTCTTATGTCTTGAAGATGATTCGAGAGCGAGAGGGTCTTATAATTTGTTAATAAAATATGCCATGGCTTGAAGGATGATCCTATTAGAATATATTTTTTCTGATTGAACTTTCTTTAATGATAGATTTCAAGATGAAAACTTTTTGGTAAGACATAAAGATAATATTTGATTGGTTTTTGAATTGATCTAATTATAAACAAGTCTTAATACACTCTCAGCTATCGTCGAACGAAACTCAAATATAACTTTTCATTGCATTAACCTTGTCTAGATAGCCCACTCTGTTCAATATCAAATTATTATAAAACAACTTTATCCCATTTGATAGGGTATTGAGTCTTCAGTATAATCCTCTTTTCTACTCTCTTGCACTTGATTCATTTATTTTTACCTTGTGCCTGGCCCCACACAGAGTTTTGCCTATTTTCAGTGCTTGGCACATCTTTGCATTGCATCGCATTCTCAATCAACGTCTCGCTGGTCAACTGACCCACTGAACCACCCAACCACTGACCCACTGACTGACAGGCAATCCGGAACAATTTCAATTCGTCTGCTGCTTATTTGTATGCATGCCAAAAATCGTGTAAAGTAAACAAACAGAAAATTATTTTCGGTTAATTTTTGCGGCTGTTTGTTTAATTTCGAGCGGGTTTTATGAACTGCTGCAGTTGCCACAAACTGTGGCCACTGCATTTTGCATTTACTTAGCTGGCTATAGGTATCTGTATGTATATGTGTATATGTATCTAACTTCAAGCACATCACGTACGTTGAAAAGTTCAAGGACATTTGACCGTGGGGCTGCTGCACGTGGCGGCAATGTCAAAGACATGAAAGAGGAATTAAGACTGTGGCTGGGATTAGCTTAAGGATGCCAAAATCGTATAAGAACTGTTGCGAGCAGGTGAAATCGGCTGCATAATGCTCGCTAGTTGGGCAAGAAAAAAAACTAAGTTGTTTTATATGCATATGACACGTCTAAGTCGTGGGAGAGATCTAGCTGCAAAGCTTGATAAAAATCATAAACTTTTTAGGATTCAGTTGAGAATATATAATATATATATAATTTGAAACTGTATCTTTATCTGTATCTGAATCTGTAAATTTATCTGTATCTGAAGCGCTACATGTTTCTATACATATATCTATATCTGTACCTGTATTTTTATCAGTTCTTTTTTCATTATCTATATCTGTATCTGTAAGATATATATGTAGCTATAAATGTATCTGCAGCTGTATCTGTATCTATATCTGTATCTACATCTATATCTATATCTATATATGTATCTGTATCGTTAAATGTATCTGTTTGTGTACCTGTATCTCTATCTGTATCCTTAGCTTTATATGTATCTATACATGTATCTGTATCTGCATATATATCTGTATCTACATCTCTATCTATAAGTGTATCTGTATCTGTTTCTGTACCTGTATCTGTATCTGTATCTATATCTTTATACGTATCTATAAATGTTTCTGCATCTGTATCTGTGTCTATTGTATCTATATATGTATTTATAAATGTATCTGCATCTGTATCTGTATCTGTTTATGTATCTATATCTATATCTATGTATATATGTATCTATAAATGTATCCTTATCTGTATCTGTATCTAGTTTCAATACTGCAGCCAAGCACATTCACTCACATATGGCGCGGCAACCAATAAACTCGATTCCCTTCTCTAAACGTGTATAAGCATATTGGCCAGGCAAAACATAAATGTATTTAGCAGCAAGTGTCTTTCACATTTGTGCGTGTCCTGCGTAACAAATTACACTACGCTACAGTCTACTCTAATTCCCCCTCTCTTTCAGTCTGTGTCTAATTCCGCATGAATCGAGCTCTGCAGCTAAATCTAATGAATAAATTAACGAACTCGACACTCGATTGGTTTTTTTGGGCGCGCCCTTTAAACGCACATCGAATACAACATTATTCAATTATTAATTATAAATGAATGGCAAAAATGAATTGTTTAACCGTTATCAATGAGTAATTACTGTAGCTGCCATGGAAAACAACATGCCACAAGAGCAGCAGCAGTCAGCTAATTAGCGGCGTGTTCTCCCGAATTAGACACAGATTAAATTCAGTGTGGCTTTGCTTTGTTTATGGTTTGCTATTGATTTGAATAATTTTACAGCTGATGGACAGAGAGATACCCTAGTGAAAATGTAGCCCGTTAAAAGGGTCTGACATTTTGTAGAAGCGATATAATAGTCTAATTTTGCTCTGTTTGCGTGAGCGCTGATATGATATGACCACAGCTGATGGACTTGTAGATACCCTGGTTTGTGATCAACCTGATTCCACTGATATTATAGTTCAGTTGTTACCTAGTTTAAGCAGATTAGTCATAATGTGTCCTGTGTCTGTATATTGTGACAGAAGATACCCTAGATTATGATAAACATGATTCAGCTGATAACCTTGTGTGATTCTAGTGATTGTTACTCATTTTATTTTTGCTTGTTTGTGGGCTGATTGTAATTTGAGTAGCTTAACATCAGCTACCCTAGCTTGAGATACACATAATTTAATGCATACATTAGCCCGTTGGTACTTATATATATTATTCAATGTGAAACTGTGTGTTAAATGTTGAATAAAGTATGGAGTGATAGACTAAAAAATACCCTACATTAAAAGAAATATGATAATATGTTGCTTGATGCAAGCTAAAGTCTTGATTCAATGAGGTTAACTTCTGCATCTGTTGCAAAAGAGATTGACAGATAAAATTTACAGGGTATACAAAGTTGTTGTCTTTACTTTGCCATTGTTTAATATTTGTTTTTTGATATATTGTTCAGGTAAATGTTTTGTTACCAATTCCTACAACATGTTAATATCAAGAGCTCTACCAACTTGTAGCCGCATTGATGTAAATGAAGTTTGGCGCAACTTTGAGCGCTACTTGCCGCAACGGCAAAAGTCAGAGCTCACAGGGCCGACACACAAATCACATAAACCTGTATGCAAAAGTCAGCAACATAAACTTTGTGCTTAACTAATTGCTGCTACAGACCGCCGAGTCCCTGCCTGGAAATCCTCAACTGAGCTCCTGCTCTTGGCACCTGTCCGTGCTGCTAAGCCGCAGCTACAGGCGAAACTTGTGCAAATGCATTTTTATTTTGCCTCATGTGCTCGTGGATAGGGTACGTTGATTTTGTAAGGAAGCAGAGGATGAATCTGATTAGTTACAAAAAAAAGCTCTTATTTGAGAGACAATATCATTATACTTTATTTTCTTTGCTTCTTCTCTACTATATTGTATATCTAATGTATGAGTAGAGCTATCTATATTCGAGGGTATTAAATCTTCGACTTGTTTATAGCTTCCGCTTTCCATTTTTATCAAATTTTCACAAACTAATTTACTAGCTCATTATGTATACTTAATAATTTATCGAATTCATATTGAGCATACGGCAAGCTAGCCGCAACACTGAAACATAGTTCATAGCACACACACACACACACATAGCCGCGCCGCAACTGACATTAACAATGGCAGACAGTGAACCGCAACAAAAACCACCGAAAGAAAAAACTGACTAAAATCCACGTAAATGCCAGTCAGACGTGTGGCTGGAGGAGGGCGCTTCACTGCGGCAACTGGTGGCAAATGAGGCATATGCAGCATGCAACAAAACTAAATAATTAAACGCTTTGCTGCTAAAGCAGAAGCTGCAGCACATGAATTAACTTAGTCCGAGCACAATTCAAAAAGACAAAGCCAAAGCCATCTCAAAGCTGAGGCCATAGCTTTTGGCTGGCCCAGCTCAGCTGACCCGCTGCTCAAATTAAGTAAGATTATACAAATGAAATGTGATAGACTCAGAGATAGTCAGTGGCTAACAACGATGAGCTCTAGTTGTAGCTTAACAAAGGGCACAGACAGACATACATAGAATAGCAAAGCGACAGATAGAAGAAGATCCAAATATACAGATACAACTGTATTTTGGAAATATGAATGGAAGAGCTAATAGATGGGTGTATAGGCAGATAGGAGTATAGAAAGAAGTTAGAAATATATATGAAAATAACTTATTTATTTGCATAAAAAGTATCTAGAGCATCTCAAAGTCTCTAACTTCTGCATTTAATAAAAAATTATTGATTTTAAACATGATTTGAAAATAATATATAAAAGTTTTTTAACTTATGTAGGTAGCAGCAGTCATTAAAGTCTTCGTTAATGCACAGATAAATGAATGGGCGGGCAAAGATAGAGAGAGAAAGAGAGAGAGAGGTAGTCAGAGTATATGCGGCAGATGGACAGCTATGTATAGATACAGCTCTTCAGGCTGATCAAATGTAAACATACTCTAACTTAACAAGTTTTTTACTGATATTTATCGACTTCGTATTGTGAAACTTATTGAAACTTGATTTGAAAATCTTAAAAAACCAACTTGAGATGAACAATCAGGCGCAAACGAATAAAGAAAAGCACAAATAGAATGAGAGGCAGATATAGGCCATACCAGTCTATAGCTGAGCCAGGCTGAGCAAATGAAATCATACTCTAACTAATGAAGAGAGCACTCGATATTTATCGATTTTGTAAAGAAAAAAACAAGCAGACAGACAAATAAACAGCAAGAGCAGAATGATTCCATAAGACAAACATGCTAACTGCTATAGAAATTTATATTTATGTTGTTAATTATGGTTAAACAAAAGAATTTATGCTGTTCATTTATAAAATGTTAACTTTTAGCACAGTCTGTGTTATGATAAATAAATAGATAAGCAATTGAATAGTTTGGAGTAGTAGACATCGCTCCTCACATCCACTGTCACATCTGCTTACACTAATTATCCAATCACAACTAGAGTATACCCCACTCCAGCGCACTCTGCGCACGTTTAGAGGGCTTTATCAGAGAATGAGAATTAATGTGTGGCTTTTGCATACCTGTCTAATGGGTCTGTTGTTGCGGCAGGTGCCGGCACGTCTGATGCCACTAAGTATGCAGCGTTATCTACTGCCGTCACTGCTCCCGTTCACGTTGCTGCTGCTTCTTCTTCGCTTCTTTCGGTTTTTTGATTATTTATTTTTACATTTTATAACATTTGTTGTTTCCCAGCTTTTGTGTCCGCAAATGAAATGCGCGTTTAAATGAAAAATATCCCAAATAATTATAATAAATACTTTTTAGCAGCTCCTCCTTGGGCCGCTGCCCTTCGGTTCGAGCTGTCGAGTGTTTTTTCTCTCCTTATTTTGTTTCTTTGCCGTTTGTTTTGGGTCGACGCAAAAGAAGGTCTTCTCTTAACGCAAAAATAAAATAACTTCCCTTTTCACACAACTCACACATACACACACACACGCACACACATACTTTTTGTGTGTGTTTGGAAAAAAGGGAAAATTTAAATTAAACTGATTTGTTGCTGTTGTCGCTTCAATTTTTGCTGCTGCTGGCTGACAGCTTTTTTATGCCTTTTTGTGCTTGTTTTTTTTTTGCATTTTAAATTACAAATGACAGCTGCAAAGCAAAAATATGGAGGAAAAACGAAACGAAACAGTTAACACTTATTTAAATGCGAATGCAAGCCGTTTTCAGTTAAGGTTTTTATGCATATTAATCATACGCCGTGTTGTGCTTGCCTCTCTGACTTTGCCTCTCTCTCTCTCTCTCTGTTTGTTGCTTTGTCTTTTAAAAGGCATCGCAATTATGCAAATCAAATTAATTTGATGCTTATTAGTTTGACCCACTGTTCAGCTGCAATTAGGGGCGGCTGTGCTGTGGGCGTGTCCCAGACACCGAGCACAAAAAGAAAAACATTTACTGCAATTTGCATGCGAAATGTTTCATGCAATAACATAAAGACAGGCAGACAGTCGGACAGACGGTTAGACGGCGCAAGTAAATGATTGTGTGTTTGCCATTTGTTGTGTTGGCTCATAAACACGCCATAAACCCATCAATATAGGCCACGCCCACACACACACACACCCACACCCTGGCACAGAGCAATAGGCCAATCGGCAATCAGGCGCCAAAGCGAAATCAACGCAAATTGAAGCTAAAAATTAAAAATGCAAAAATCGAAATCAAAACCCAGCAGAAGAGAGAGAAGGTGGGCGTTAGAGAGGCGAGGAAGTAGAATTAGGAACGCCAAATGAAGCGCCAAATTAGAAAATAATGCCAAAGAAAAATATATAAAATTGAAACCGAAACAGAGCAAACAAAACAACAACAAAATTGATAAAAATATTATGAAACAATTTTGTTGTTGTTGTTGTTGCTGCCACTTGAGGCGGAAGTGCGCCGTAGCTAACAACAAAGCCGCAGGAGCTGACTAAGGATGCAGCAGCAACAGCAGCCGGATAAACCAAAGCAAAAGGCATTGATAGAGAGCGAGCGAGAGGGAGACAGAGAGCCAGGGACGAGCACTTGCTTGAGCTGGCATTGTTATGACTGCTGTAATACGCTTTGCGAGGAGATTACAATGTCTGATTACTTTGTTATTAATAAATACAAAAGCGTGCCACACACACACACACACACACACCTACGCACACACAAGCGCATGCACACGTTGTGGCAGCCGCGGGCAACGGCGCGTATGCGCGATTTTCATTATCTTTTCTATGTGGCTGTGGCTTTGTATGCCAAACGTTTATTAATAAACTACCTCAGTGTGCCCATCTGTGTGTGTAACAATACAGCAAACTAAACAACGGCACACAGGTAAATGCAGTTTTTGTAATAAACAAAATATATAAATGCGAAAACTATATTCAATTTCTGAGCCATCAATTTGCTTATTTATTGCTGTTGTCATTGAGCCAAAAAAAAATAGCTGTAAATTTATATATAAATATTTGTGTATGTGTGTGCTTGTGTATGTGTTTAATATAAGATTTAATTTGATTTGTGCACAATTTAATTGCATTTTAATTGCAAATGTGGTGAAAGTTCGCTTCCAAGCTGCAATTTAATTGAGCGTTAAATTATTTTTAGCTACAGTTTTTTTTGCGTCTTTCAAAATCGATTTATGTTTATATATTATACATATATATAATTTTTAAATTCAATTATATTACATTTATGTTTGATTTAATCTAATTATAACTGCGCTTTACGTTGTTTGCTTGTTTTTTGTTTATTTTCATTTTTTATATTTCATTTTTGTTTTGTTTCTTATTTGGTTTTTATTTGCACTTTGCTTTACTTTGTTTATTTTTTATTTATACATTTTTGTACTTATTTTTGCTTTTCAAATACTTTGAGTGGCGTAGTAAAAATTGTTTTCTTTCTATTTAGTTTAGTCTTTATTTCTTTCGTATATTTGTAAACATTTTTTACATATTTTTTTGCGTTTGCTCTTTTATACTCTATTTACACTGTGTCTATGAACAGCAAAAGTGATTCTCGTTTGTAGCTAGAGACTTGACATATGAAACATAGAGTTGCCCAGACTGACAGTCCGATTAAAGGGCATCAACTATATCTTTTATAGCATAAAATCAATTGGTTCGATAAGAAATTTGATAAATATGCTCTCTTAGAGCAACTTCAGTTAAAATTGTATAAACTAAAAATAAACTACGATCAGCTTTATTGTTGGATCACCTCTATTTACAGCTAACATTGCGGCTAATCGAAATATATAAATTTTTATAGCCTGACCCATCGTAAATTGTAATCAGATTTTGAAGAAAATCATTTTCACTTTGTCCAGTTTAAGCTACTAAATATTTAATATAGTATTCACCTTAAATTTTCTAATCAGCTTAATGAAATTTCAAATTTTATGGTCTTTTTACTTTTTACAAATATTTATTTTTTTTTAATTTTTTTAGCTTACTTTAATACAAATTTTTTATTTGCGCAACTAAAGTATTATTTTTGTTTACTTAACATTTTTTTAATTAAACTGCATACAACTTTTTAAGTTTTTGTTGCAAAATTTAAGTTTTCAGTAATGAATTCAATTTTTTATTTTATTTTTAGTTTGTTTTAAACACAATTCTCCATTTGCCTAGTCTCTTTATAATTTTTTCTTGTCACATAAATTTAATAAACAATTTTAGGTCTTTCAACGTTTTTTCAGCTTTAAATTGTCTTTTATAATTTAGTAAATTTAATTTAAATTTTTAGTTATAATTATTTATTTTGAAATTTTTTGCAACTTTTATTTGTATCTATTGCCCGTTGAATGATTATCTTGAGCAGTTTCTTTGGCTTGGCTACCTTTATTCGAAACACCAACGTTTATCACTTTTCACAACGAGTTTTCTTATCTTTTTGCTCGTTTTCAGCTCGCATTCGCTTTCGGGCACGTTGAAACCGCAACTGAGTTGAATTTTCCGACGTGTCTGCCTTTTATGCGCTTTTCCTGTCGGCTTCGTTGAATGTTGAAGCGAACCCAACGAAGCTTTTTCGTCTAAAGCTTTTCCCCATTCAATTTCCATTCAATCGCGTTGACTGCGACTGTTTACAGGTGTTTGTTTTGGCCTGGCCTAAACAATAGAAACGAACGAAAAAGACTCCTTTGGGCCAAATGTACTGAAAGCTATTTTGCTCTTTAAATTTTCGGCTGAGTTTTTCTTTTGCTTTTGCTTTTGCTTTTCTTGTTTTATTTTTTGGGTTACGCTTCGCTAACCGCAACATTTTGTTGCAGGCAACCGTGCGCCACTTGTTGCACGCTGACAAATTCGTCGGGCAATTTATAAAGTTTGATGCTCAATACTTGGCCACAATATATTAATAATTCAACAACGAAAAGCACGAAATATCCATTTATATTTATGTTGATGTTTATGTTTTTTGCTTTCAAGCGCAATAAAACAGACAACGACTGTGCTTTAAGCGTAACGTAGCTGACTTGAATACCCTATAAAAAAGGAAAGCTGCGAAGGTTTAGTTGGACTTCAACTCAGCTTAGACAATGCACATTTGGCTGAGGAAATTCATAATTAAACTCCTCAACTTTTTAAAGAACATGAGCTTTCTGCATGAGCAGGAGTCTGCTAACTACCAAATTAGCTGTAGTTGGTCAGCTCAGTTCACAGAGAACAAAGCTGACAAACGTAGCGAGAAAATCATGAACAGCAACGACAACAGGCAGCGGAAAATTTAATGAAGCAATTGAAAAATTGCTGAATTATTGAGAGAGAGTGAGGTAGGAGAGCAAACTGTAAACTTGCCTAATCAAAATATGTGTGGGGCAGTCGATCGGGCCAGCAAGGAAAACAAAAAAGGACTGCAAGGCACACACGCACACACGCACACACTTACACACACACATCCTGTGACAGCGCAAGGATTGTGAAGCGACAACAAATCAATTGTGAAGCCACACGAGAAAAAGGACAACGGAAATGATGAGACACGATGTGGGAAAGACTAAAGCAAACGCTGATGACGATGATGTGGATGATATGGTTGATGATGTTGATGATGATGATGATGAGCAGTGAGCCAGAGTCAGCTGTGGCAAACAGAATGAAAACATTTTTCTAATTTCCTGTCATCAATATCAAATGAAATGTTATGGCGCACACATCAAATATCCTTAGACACCCGCGCGCTGACTGCCAGCACTTCTAATTGAGTTGTGTGCGAGTGTCGCGTATTTATAGACAATTCCTTTTATTGCAAGTAAACGTATTCGCATATAACATATAACAATTGCTGCTTAATATACATATATACATACATACATATATATATTGCATGTGCCTTAGAGCCTTAGTCGCCTGATCGCTCGATAATGATAGCCATCATCCAGCAGCGCTGCGGATTCCTCCTCGCTCTGTGGCACCGGGTCGACGGCCACGGCATTGTCCTCGAGTGGCGGCAGATAGGCTTCGACGGTGGGCGTTAGATCGGGTATGACTTCGGGCGTGGCATAGTGATAGCCATCGGACTGCAGCAAGCCCGCTGGCTCCACAATATCCTCATGGGTTGGCGCCTCCGTTTCCTGAACTGGCTGTTCAGTGGTTGGGATGGCAGCTGCTTCTGTTGTAAGCGGCTCGCTGGCTGTTGTTGTTGCAAGCGTCGTCGTTGTTGTTGTTGTTGCTGGCTCGCTTGTTGTTTCAACTGGCGGCAAGTACTCATTGGTGGGTGGCAAATAATCAAGCGGCGGCGTCAAGACATGCGACAAGCTAGCCGCATGCTGTTCAACGGGCGGCAAATAATCGCGACTGGGCACCGGTGGCAACACCACAGGTGGCAAATACTCCAAAGGCAAGTGTGAGACATCGCGACGCGGCCGCAACACACTCGCACTCACGCTGACACGCGCTACCGCCACCAGCAACAGCAGCAGGCTTACCATTTGCTTCATCTTCAACTGTAAAATGTAGCCTTGATGTAGCTGCAAGCTCTGTTTAAATCCCAATGTAACACTTACCATATTAACAATATATTTATATATATATCTATATATTTATATAGGTCTGGGTTGTCTGTTTGGCTTGTTGGGATGTTGCGTTATGCTGTGTCTTTCTGAAATCACTCTGGGTATTTATATGAAAAATTAGCAAGGGTTTGCCAAAGACTCAACGCGTTCGATCCGAACAGCAAACAGTGAACAACGCAGAGCGAACGCGAGCTATCGAACCGGAATCTTAATTAAACATGCGTTTCAATTGTTGCTCTTGTTGTTGTTGTGGTTGTTGTTATTGTGTTGGATTGCATCAAAAACATTTAGCGCCGACGACGACACCTTCCGCAAGCTGAGCTGTCATTTCAGCTTGCTTATAGCTTTTAGTTGTGGATAGTTGTAGCAAAAAAAAGCTAGTTCCATTAGAAACAAGCTAAAACAGATTTTTGTTTCGATCAATATATCAATCATTTACTATATGACACAAATATGTATATATATAATATGGCCTGACTCTCTGATTGATTGATGAAGCAGCTGCAGAGTTTACAGGGAAAAAGCTAGTAAAATAGAAATAGAAATTCAACGTGCTGTGAGAGCTTTTAGAAGAGTGTAGATTAAAGTTTATTAGAACAGATATAAACTACGAGACTATTATTATATATATACATATCTGAGCAGAGGAGTAAAACAAAGAGCAACCGAACATAAGCTAAATTTATGAATTATGTAAAACAAAAATAATTATAATATATAATGATTTAATATATTATTTTATTTATATTAAAACTGTCTTAAAATTTTTGCCATAAATATATGGAATATTCTTAACATTTCATTTCATTTTTATTAATTTTCTAGAAACTTTTTATCAATATAGCCCTTTTCATATATAGAATTATGTAAATTTATCATCAATTTAAGTTTTTTTTAGCAGTTTTATGCCTATGCTATAAACTTCTAATTTTCTAATATTCATTGAGTGCACTTAGTCATTTTTTATATATGAGCTATTTTAGCTTATTTACACCTAAGTTTAAAATAAATTATAAATAAATAAACCACAAATAAATATATTTACTATAGTTTGCTATTTTACTATTTAATATTTCAGGTGGGTTTTTGCAATATTTTTAACTATTTATTTAAGCTTATCTTTTTAAACTGTTTCTCATTTTAAGCTCAGTTTCAGCCAACTTTAAACTTTGTTAGTTTTAATATTTTTTTAGAAATTGCCTGTGATTTACTTTAGCTTTTTCTTCACTCTATGTATAGCTCTATAATTTAATTATTCTCAACTAATTCAAACTACAATTTAGCACATTTCTAGCCAACACTCAGTCTCATTTAGCCATAATTTTAGTTGCATTTAGCCATTTCATGCTCTCTCTCCCTCTCTATCTCTCTGTCTCTCTACTTTTTCTGCTGCCAACACAGCTCCTCTAAGATCTATCATCAAACCTGTTGCAACTGGCTCGATCGAGCAGATCTGTTTGTTTGATGTTCATGATGCGGCATGGTCATCGACGGCATGGTCATTGGCATTAGTTTTTTGAACCAGCAAACGCTTCTTAAGTGTTGCCAACAACTGTTTATCTATTTGACTTAAGCTGCGTTTGTTTGCCGAAGAATATTTCGCACTCAATTTAAAAATCTGTCAATATTTTTTATTGTTTTGTTTCTTTTAGCCACATTCTACAAACATAAGTTTTGAGGAGCGTAACCGAAACTGAAACCGAAACCAAAACTGAAACCGAAACTGAAATGCTTATAAATAAATTCAATGTCCCGCAAACAAAACGAATTCAATGTCAAATGTAATTTTTTTACTTATTTTTTTGGCTTTTTGGGGCTCTGCAAGGCCCTCTAATTACAAGTTCAAGATGATGCAGCAGTTTATGTCGGCTGTGGGTCAGAGAACTGTCACGATCTTCTGCTACATCAGTTGCATCATGACTTGGCAATTAAGAAACTTATCACACATGCGGCACGTTGACGTCTAGCCATAAGCAGCTTACAGTCATGGAAAAATCAAACCATAAGAAAAATGCTAACAGAGGGAGCGGGTGGGAAGGCAGTCAGAGCACAGACAATGCGCACAATTTCAATCAAATGCATTAAACCAAGCTAAGCTGTCACAAAATTCATCAAAAAATATTATTTCTATATAAACTAAGCACACACCCTCACCCATACTAACATGCATACATTTATATATATATATACCTATAAAACGCCTTTATCCTTGTCCGATTTCCGCAATTTTCAGCGCGTGCCAGACAAACAAAGCGAGCACAAAAAATCAAGCAAAAAGTTGTAAAAAAAACCCAAAATGAAATCAAAAGCAAATACCATTCCTTTTTTTGCAGTGTGCTGCGCCCAGCTCAACGCGTACTCAAATTCAATGTAATTTCTTTGCTTTTTTCTACTATTTTGTGTGTGCGAGCTGTTCTTGTTGTTGCAGGATTAGCAGAAATTGAAAACGTTAGCAACGCACTCAAAAGAAAAAACGAGTCGTATTTCCAGCTCAAACAACTGAAGGGTGAGGGTGCCTAATCGAAAAGATATATATTTATATATGACAGAATATTTAGTTAAAATATTTAAACTCAATAACAGCTATGCTGTGGGGGCACAGGCTGATTCGTAACTGAAAACTTTCGATGCCAAATTGAAATAAAAAAGAAAAACACAGAGGCAGAAACTGTTTGCTCAATTGAATCTGTGACCACGCGAACAGCAGCATAGGTAAATCAAAAAACGTATATATATTTCTGATTCATATGTATATATATATATATATATATATATATATATAAATTGAAAAGTGTGTGCAGAGCTGCCGCATTGACATGTAAAACGCATGCATGCCAAGTCACTGCACAGGACAAGCATCAAAAAAAGTATATATATATGCACATATGATACATAGCTATATATATATATATATATGTAGACATCGATTGGCACTGAGCTCGCTGCATATAGTCAAGAGTGCTTTACCATAAAGAGAAACAAACTGTAAACCAATCAAGGCATCAAAATGTTCAGCTATAAGCCTCTTCAATTTATGTTTTTTTTTTTTTTCATTTTCAAAGGTAAACAGAAAAGATTTGTATTTGTGCCTGAAACAGATACAATTCGAGACAGCTGAAAAATGTGAAAGCTGAGTAAGAATTTGTTAACAAATAAAAGCATCAGATTTGTCATAATAAACTATTCAATTATTGCATTTCACTGAAACTGGCACAAGAAAGGAATAAACTTTTGCCTACAGCAAGCATATGACTAATTTATTTATATTTATATTTTTGTTCTTTTATAGATATGTTGTATTTCTAATTGTTTGATTGGAATCCTTAGTCAATGCAGCTAACATGTGTGTGCGAAGGAAATAACTTATTTTTGCCATGCTTAGAGTTCCCTCAATGTATCATTTGTGTCTTATTCTTTTATGCAATCAAAATTAATTTGTGTTACGTGAAATTGAAGCGCAAACATAAAACAGACAAATTAACCTTGACTATGGAGAAGTATAAAGCGATAACAAACTTTGCACATATAGTTAATCTCTTCAGGTAGTAATCGGAAGTTGCTGAGATTATATTATTGTCAACTGAAGTCTACCGTCATATTCATATACTAGCCTGAGTCATCTAGTCTAATACACATTTATCTTACATATAAATAGCTTGATAAATCTGCTATATTTAAAGTCTTTAGAGTTGCTCAAGCAAGAGCTTAATAATAGCAGAAAATTGAATTTGATTTTTATGATAAATAACTTGATGAAAGATGTTGAGATTGTCTTATGAATGATATACCAGATAGCAGACATTATGGCCAGCATAAGCCTGTATACCTGTAACTCTGCACATTTTACTATATATTTTTGCCATATATTAAATAATTACATTCTCAAGAACTCGCCGAGTACAAATTTCCAATTGAAATATTTCATTTGCTTAGCTAAAAATCAAAATCAATTCGTTCTCTTGTCTACACGTGACCTAAGAATTCCTGCTTTAAATTTACAGTTATGCTTTATTTAAAATTTCACATTTCTGAAGAGGCTCATAAAAAATTCTATATTTTATGATTACATTTTAGGCAGAATTTAGCTGCGCAATTTAAATGCCACTGTCAACAAATCAAATACTCGAAAGAGTTGTCGCTTGATTTGCATGCGTGGCTCGTACGTTGCTGCGCTGTGGCAGCTGCGTGTGGCACAGCGCACAGATACATATAGTATGTGTATGTATATAGAGAGAGAGAAATGTAATCACTTCATAAAATATGCAACAGTTGCGGGACACAAACATGGGGCAGCAAACAAACTGGCTGCAAATTAGACGCAGCTCACGTGACTCTAACTTTAACACATTACGCTCCAATTACGCGCGTGGCAAGCTGGGCGGACTGGGCCGAGCTAGTTTGTTGTAGGCGTGGCATGTGCGCGTGTGTGTGTTTTGCTTTCTGCATAATAAAATCAGTCGCAGCTTGTCGCCTGGCTCCGCCTTAAGCTGCCACAAAGCAACTGCAAATGCAATGCATACTAAACAGCAACAAGCACTTGTGCTCACTTATGCAACAGGCAACTTGCAACATGCGGCAGCAGCTGTCAAGCACACTCACGTGTGGGTGTGTGTGTGAGTGGAGCTTAGGCAAAGCAATTTGCTGGCAACGGCAAAGAGCCAAAGTCAAAGCGCGCTACGAAAATTTAATTACAACTTGAAGGTTTTCCAAATTCCCTAAATATGAGCAAGGAGCTATCCGATCGGGTGTAGACGACTAAGCAAATACTCTATTTTGAGTATAGTAAAAGGTGCAAAAGCTCCAAAAGGTAAGGCTTACTCTGCCAGTATAATTTTCTTACATTAGCCCTGACATACCTTGAGCCTAGCCACCGTTAAGCAAGATAACATTTTACTTTAAAGTTTCTCCCTAAAGGAAGTCCAAAATAGTTTAACTGATAGATATATTCAAGTACTGCTTGTATGAAAAGGAGTTAACTGTAGACCTTAGACCATAGAATTATTCTAACAGCATAGAATATGAAATAACTTTAAATATATTTAAATAACTCGGATTTCTAATAACAGCTGTAGATAAGAATGATGTTTATTGAATATATATAATATATATATCAAACCAATATACCCTTTTACCTACCCTAGCTAGCTAAGCACTTACATATCCAGGCATAAATTATCACTAGATTCGTGATTATGAAAAGCTAAGCTTACAGATTAAAGTGGTAAACGAACTGAAACTTGAGTCAATAAATAATAATTTTTTTAATAATAATCTGTGAACAGGGTATATAAGGCACATATATATACAAGATTTAAAATAGAACTTCCTGACTATCAAAACTTTTTTTTTAATTGATGTTTTTATTTGCAATCTGTCTTATGCTAGACAACAAACAAATTTGTTAACAATTATATTATGTAACAGGATGACTTGGGCTCCAATGAGATCAATCCATATATTAACCTATTTTACGTATTTATCTATTTCTGTGGGGTCTAGGACTATCAAAACTCAGCTATACATCTCAATCTCCAAATCGAAACGTAGACTGAAGTAACTTGCGTAAATCTCCCAAATATTGAAGCCAATACACATTTGTTCACTCCACGAACAGTGTATGAAAAAGGGACTCACAGTTATGCCAGCTCCTCGGATTATTTATTATATTTCAGTTGCTGCTGATTTGCAGCGTTTTTGCTTTTTGGAAGCCTTCGTCCATTGTCAAAGTCAATTTAATTGTCTCAATTATGCGCTAAACGCTGTCGACAACTCCGAGCTGTGAACCCGACGAGAACCCGCGCAACCCAAATCAAGCCAAGGTCAAGGGGCTGACAAATGAGAGTGGGCCTGGGCTGTCGTCTTCATTGTGGCATTCCGGGCAGCTACCGCTTTTTGCGACTTAATAATCAAGTGACTTACTAAAAAGTTAACGCAATTTTGTGGCAACTTCAAAAGTTTGCCGCAACTCTTTGGGGCCAAGCTTTTGTTGCAGAGCCCCCACTTCCTTCCACCGCAATCTCAAATTCGTGCTTTGTTTTTGCCGCTGAGCACATTTTCACGCACAGTTGAATGCACTTTTTGTGCCGTACTCCGGACTGCCGAGGAGAGCAAATGTTTGGCGAGAAATTGCGCAGGTGTTGCGCTAAGCGGGCTAAGGTGGGCACATGGTGGCACGGCTCGCAATAGAGAGCGTTTATGTTGAGACATGAATGAAGTCTTATGAATTTATAGCATTAGCTGCCGACGGGCTCTGTGGCACAGGGTGGCAAGGCAGTCAAAACAACAGCTAAGTTCATTGGACAGGATTAGTTGCTGCTACTCTGCCTAGGGTTGGCGGCATCTGTTAAGTTTCATAGCTTAAATGCATTAATTGCTAAGCAGTTATGAGACACCCTGTGCACAGGTCGCCGTTTCTGCGCCCAATTGTAAACTTGAGCCTCGGCTGCTGTGCCACGTGACGTATACGTAATTTGCTTGTGAAATAATTAAAAAGCAACTCCCACACACACACATCCAGCACCCTGTCATTTTGATAATTTTACACTTATTTGCGCATAATTTCGCAACAGAAAATAATAAATTAAATGCGAAAATTGCGCTCCAAACCCCAAAAATTGAGCAGCGCATGAATATTTTGCCAACGATGCGGGAGAGAGAGAGAGGCAGTCAGCCTGGTCAGTCAACAACATATTTTGTTGTGCAAATAGAGGAAATTGTACAAATATTAAACGGATATATCCTGCGGCGTTGACTACCCGATTTGACGGCTGCAAACTGGGACGAAAGAGCGACGATGTAGCGGTGCCTTGTGACCGAAAACCGCGTGGGTTGATGCGACAGAGTAGGGTAAAACTTTAATGCCAGTTATGGC